AGATCGAGGCTTCCCAGTGCTAACTTGTTAGAGGCATCCTCTTCTATCGTGCTATCCCTGATTGACGTATCGAACTCAGACATGATAAGGCTTATGAAATAGTCTCGTGAGAAGACGAGAGACTGGAACCCACAACCGGGGAGACGCCCCCCGCTCCCCTCGCCGCGTCACGTTACGTCACCATAACGTGCCGTCACAATTGCAGCACACGATGCACGAACGTTAGCTGTCCGCGCACGCCCACTGCACGTGCGCCAGCTACACGCCCCCCTCCTCCTGAGGAGGAATCGGATCGTCAAGCTGTGAAACAGCGGCGGGGGAAATACGTTTCAAATGATGTAAGTGAACAGGCCGGGGCCGCCGGCTACCAACAGTACGAACAGTGTAAACTTTTGGAGAGATGCAGGACACAATCCGGCAAGGCTCAAAAAAACGACGAGCCTTTCGCAGAAGACCGAAACGGCGAACCAGCCAAACTTCGCCAACAGCTGGAAGACCACCAGAAGTTGGTGCGATAGGAGAAGAAGAGGACGGAGTCAACGCTGGTAGCGGGCGAAAGACCGGATCCAGACCGGGATAAGGCCAGGCAGGGTAGGAGAAAATCAGAGCGTGAGGATTCGGGCCTCCGCGGCGGACCGGAGCCGTGTTGTGGAACCGAGTAGCACGAGCGATGATGGCCTTCAGAAGCTGACGAAGCTGAAGCAGGGTCTCAACAAGGCGCAGAAGAAACTTCAAGCAGCCAAGAGGAACGGCGCCGTGCTCCAGATCGAGCATTGGCAACAAGAGCTTCTGGAGCGACAGAGACTCTACAGGATCGCCCTTTTTGCGGCGAAGAAAAGGGCCCGGGATCGCTTCTATGCATCCCTTAAAGACTTTTCAAGCTGCATCAGAGGCCCTAAAAGTAAGTCTTCTGCTGCTGTTCTTAACGGCAGGCCAGACTCCAACCAAGCGGAGTATCTACTACAAAAGCTGTTCCCTCGAGACGATGACCGACAGCGAGGTCTAGACAGAGCTGGCGTCCGTCCGATCAATCGAGACCTGGTGGAAGAAGTCACAGAGGACGAAGTCTTACAAGCGATTGGAAGGTTGAAGATCTCGGCTCCTGGCAGCGATGGCGTCAATGGGGAAGTCTTGAAGAAGACTGCGCCACAGCTTGCTGCTAAATGGGCCGAAGCCTTCACATATATCTTAAAGACTGGAGAGTACCCAGAGGAATGGAAGGACGGTAAATGTATTGCTTTGTCTAAACCAGGTCGAGATATCTTCACGGCTTCTGGCTGGCGTCCTGTGGTATTACTTCGATGCGCTAGCAAGCTCCTCGAGTCCGTCATCGCTGAGAGGCTTCTTCACAGCCTAGCCTAGGCTGCCTACTAGGCAGCCTAGGCTAGGCAGTGCCTAGGCGACAAGTTCCGAGTGCCGGAGATCCATGGCTTCTGCCGCGGTCGCAGCTGCGACACGGCATTGGAGAGAATCGTCGAAGCCTACAAGAGTGGAATGGGAAGGAAGGGTCACCATACCCTTTTGCTTACGCTAGACGAAAGCAATGCTTTCAACAGCGTTAAGCATTCTTTTATCATCTCAGAGCTCAACCGTTTAGGGGTGCCACCATACCTGGTGCGCACCCTTAGGTCATGGCTCACGTCATGCCGTTCGCAGTTGATGGAGGTTCTGTGATGGGAGTTTTGGCAATATGTCACGGACGAGGGTGGATCTCACAAACCCATGTGGGAAGCAGTCCACGTCCGTGACGCATTCAGTGCCCGGGATAAAACACGGCTATACCAATCAGCCACCGTGCAGATCCTGGGTGAATGCCCCCCATCTCAGATAGAAAAAAAATATAAACACCGTCACACCCAAGATAGCTCGTCTGATGCCTAACTAAGAGTGCTTGAGGGTTTCCAACAGGAATTCTCAAGCACTCTGGGGGAACTTTCTCTGTTCTTGGGTGTGTGGTCCGAAGGTGATCAGACTGGATCACTGCTTTAGCAACGACTTGACGTCTTGCTTTTCTCTTGAAATTCCGTCATCTGTCTTTCGGCTATCCGTGAACTTGCTCTCTTGGGAGACCTTCACTCACGTCATGCCGTTCGCAGTTGATGGAGGTTCTGTGATGGGAGTTTTGGCAATATGTCACGGACGAGGGTGGATCTCACAAACCCATGTGGGAAGCAGTCCACGTCCGTGACGCATTCAGTGCCCGGGATAAAACACGGCTATACCAATCAGCCACCGTGCAGATCCTGGGTGAATGCCCCCGCCTCATGTTGCCAAACCTCTCCCGCGTGCATGTTCGAAGCTCCATACTTGAATGCCCAACGGGTTAATTAAGGGTGTTAGCAAGTTCACGCCTGGGTTTTATGTCAGTGATCTGATCCCTTCCGCCGTTCTCGGGTCCCCAACCCATGAAACACAGGTGTGGCCTTGTTACTAATCACTCTTAAACACAAATCCTATTGATCCCAGAAACACCTTATCCGACCATCCTCAGACTATGCGGGCAGCGGGCCTCGATCACAATTACTCATGAGTCCGTGACTCACGGACTTATATGAAGTTCACCTCCTATCCACCTAGCCCAGAGGGCGGTGTACGTATTCTCTCACTATAGCTGCTCCGTGCCTGGCGAGCTTTTTGACCTCCTCGTCCCCATATGTATCGATCATCGCGTCTTGGCGCCGCCGCGATATTCCTTTGATAATTGGCCTTGGTGCATCGGCACGCAAGTGATATACTGTCCCACTTCTACGGCAGGAATTACCAGAAAATTTCAGAGACTGCATAAGGTCCACCTCGCCAATAGAGTCCGGTAGAAACTGGGCCAAGCTTTTAACTTCCGCCGTAGACTTCTTATAGTTTTTGTGGAAGATTCTGAGTGGCCTGGCCGTCGCGTCTCAGAGGCTAATCATAGTGTGGCAGCAGCACCATTTCCCCCTTTGTTCGCACACATCCTTCGAAGCATTACACGAGGTCTCCACGTACTCAATCTTGTTGAGTTTGGTGATACCGAGGTGTATTCTAATATGAGTCCCAGGGACCCCAGGTAGTATCTCAGTGATATCCTGGTTTCTTATGCGCAGCAACTCGCCGGACCTCAAGCTCGGTGATATCCCGCTGAGGAGAGCTGATCGTACAAGGCTTTTCTCTGGTTTGTCCTTGAACTGGGCCTCAGGACAGTCAAATAGGAACTCAACTGCACTCTCGGGTATTATGGCAGCGCGCTTGGCATCCCGCTGGGGCCTTATACCGTATAAGTTATACGTGAAACAGCCTGCATGGCTTGCTTGATAAGCATTTCATCCGCGGCCTCCATGGTGCTAAAGCCTTCCAGTTTCTGCAAAGTCCTTAGGGCTTTAATTCGCTTCTGTACCGAGGTCGAATTCAGCCCAGTTACATCCAACAGGCATCTGATGTATCGGGTAACTTTACCAGCGTTGAGAGGAGAGGACAATCCCATTTCATAGACCTCTCTTCTTGTCCTTTCGTAGCCTCTTCTTGTGTCCTCACTTATCGAGAGCCCTAGTAGCTCCAGATTCTGAGCAGTAGCCTCAGCTGAACCGTGTGCAGGCTGAATCTCGTCCCACATCGTGAAGGCGGAGTTTTCTGACATGGGGAATGTAGCGGTCCAACGATGACGGACAAATCTGGCGTCCCTCTAGTTGGGCCCACTCAAATTGACAGGAACTCAGTCGGGTCCGCAAACGAGAAACCGAGCACTATGAACCCACGTTAGTCGTGAATCGCAACTTCTGACAAAGGTGATGTCTTACAGACTTAAAGAGGAGTGAACGCCACAGCTTTTTTAAGGACTTAACATGGCACCTCCCGCCACGACCTCGGCATTTGACCGGTGGATACCAACGAAGCACGAGTTAACCTAGAGATATCATCAGCTATGCTGTTCAAGGTCCCGGCAATATGATGAGCATTGAGTCGGTAACGGAAGTCGCCGAATTTCCGAACGACGGAGGCAAGGCTCATAGAGCGCGACCTGAAGCTTCTTAGTACTGACACCGTACAAGCGTTGTCAGGGAAGCATCTGATATAAGTCACCCGCGGAGCACATATTGCCCGGATGTACTCGAAGCCGTAATAGACGGCGAGTAGTTCGAGGAAATTACTATCACCGCTGATGAACTTCACTGGTTCCAGCTCGGCAGGAAGTTGATCATCGAGCCGATTCCTGCGCTCATACCAAATCTGCCTCCAAATCTCGGGATTTTCCTCCATATTTATCGAAAACTATCTTAGATTCCGAGTATCGCATTGTGGAAAGAAGTCTCTAGTAGAGACTCTCTACCCAGACCGCATCCAGAGGCATCGGTCACCAATAGATACTCATCCTTGTAGTCAATGTATGGAATACGTTTATTGTGACTGTGAGTGAAGGTCTCGGCGGACTTATGTAGCTCTAGGCGCCTGGTTGGTGATATTCTGACGCTCCGAAGAGACGGTCGCTGGCTCAGGACCATCAGTACTTCATAGGGCTTATCCAATTTGGGCCGTATTTCGGGAATCCAACCTGTACACCAGTTTATGCGGCCAGCGAGCGTCTCCAGCGTTGCTCGCGGTATACATAGCTGAACGGATAGCAACACAGCGATTATCTTATCTCTTTTGGTCACCGGCACGCTGAGTTCGATATCGTTATTCTCCCCGATATCCACCCGATAACCAAGTATCCTTCCATCACTCCTCAAAGCGTGGGTTTTCGTCAGCTCGATAGGTATTCCAAGTGCTGTCACCAGGAGCAGGCTGAATACCAGACAGAACCTCGCCTTGCTTGTGGGCATCGTATAGTCATCCACATATCCGATCGCTCGAAATATTGTAGTAACAATCTCCGGGGCAACCATTCGCAATGCACAGTCCAATAGGCGTTTTACACAGCGTAGGCTCGCCTCCCGAAAACGCTCGGGGATGTTACGAGGCCGAAAGGCAGGCAATTGTGCTTGAAGGCATTGCTGGGATCCCGAGGGTCCAGAAAGCATAGGAATCCGCGTTCGCTCGATTCCACACTAATCAATCTGAACGCTGATACTATGTCCCATTCTAACAACCAAACTTGGCTATCCTCATCTCCAATACTAGGGGTTGGTCGCGGGACATTAGCCAATAGATCGTAAACATCCCGGAACCTAGGAAGACAGCGGGTTGTTTTCAGTTCACGGACAGTACCGTCTTCGCCTTTGCTTTCGAGTAGAGCTCCAGTACGTACGGTAATATTGATACCACTCCTCCTGAAGTCGTCCAATTGTCGGATGGCTTTAAATTCCTTCCCGTTTTTCCACATCACATGAACTTTCGACAACGCCTTGCAGTCTGGACTCGTCGGATTAATCTCTGATAACCGGCCTAGCCGAAGCTCCTTCGCTATGAGCTCTTCGAACAGCCTATACATATCTGGAGGAATGCTGCCCTGCGGCCAGTCGCGTAGCCTCAGCTCCTCGAGTTTTTCGCCAGGCCACCGCACGAAGGACGGCTCATCCTTCTTTGGTTTGCCAAACTTGTCAGTATCGATTGCTGGCCATTCCGCATTTACTCGAACCGGGATCAAGATGCCGATTGGTGTTCCCTCAGCTACCATCCGGCAGATTTCCGCGTCTTCACCGGGCGACTCCGTCGTTGCTCCTTTACCAGGGGCCATACTGAGGCAGAGTTCTTCTAGCAGTCTAGCGCGTAGAGGGGACGGGGGGGGCGGCCAGCTCTCCCAGCTCCGATTTATTGATGTCCTTCGCGACCGAGATGAAAGTGGTCAAGTCCTCAAGGAGATCATTGGCCACACTATTGAGGGAAGCTCCATCATTGGCGTTCCACTCCACACTCATCGCGGATTGCTCTTCCCGAGAGCTGGCGAAGAAACGATCTAAGAAGTCCTTTCGGGCCGCACAGAACCTCTCTGTGTGCTTAATTAGAATCCCAGAAGTACTCTCTATTAATGGCAGCTCAGATTCTCGAAGCTCGAACTTGTCCCACTGCCCTGAGTACCCGGAGCCATCTCGAGGCTTTCCCTGCACCGCTGCGGCTGATAATTCCTGGGTCGACGTCTTCCAAGGGTGATCTTCAGGCTTGCTGCCCAACTTTCTGCCCCTATCTCGCTGTTTCTTCGCTTGGGTAGACCTCACGTGTGGCATTTCCCAAAGAAGAGTCTCTTTGTTAAGTGGGAACCAAACTGAACGACAGTGGTTCCGAGAACGACGTTTCCTCCGTCCCATTTATGGTGTTATGACCACTAGGAACGGCACTGACGCAACGCAACAGCCACCAGTTTTGACTACGTGATAATCAAACTTCGGAAAATGGCGGAAACTCAGCTTCAACAGTGTTGGATTGGCACCAAACCAATGCCGCAGCTATTGGTCCTTAGGGTTCTTCCTTGATGGTTCATCCTTCACCTGCCCAGTCCTAGGGCGTTTATCAGACCCGAAGCTACTGTCCTTCTCCCCACCTTGACCGTTCTGCCAATAAGGCTTAGATTGGGGGTCGCCGA